TTTCCCAGCTGAAATCTTCTCTCTGTGCGTGGCCTGTTCACTTCCCCAAGAAGCAACACTACAAATAGAATAACTGTCATGTCAGTTGGGGGAGTGACAACAGATGGAGCTCAGAGCCTGTCTCTGTGCATATGCACAAGCCAGGCAAGGTGTTGGAGAGATACAACACCGTGAGGCTGGGAAGACTTGTTCTTCTCTGCTTTGCAGTTTCTGAAAACAGGATGGAGTGCTATTTTGCATGACATTTGGGAAATAAATTACTTAAGACATTCTTGTAGCCCACAGGAGAGATTTCATGTCACTGCATTAAGATTCCTGGCTAATTTAAGAGTGAAAAATTAAACCATTTGAGTGAGATGGGAAGGAGTTGAGTTGACCATTCATCAGGAAATAGCACCTCAAGGACTTTCTGCATACACACAGAAAGTCTTTATTTCCTAAACATTCTAAGTAGAAAAGTGAGAGTATACAAGCCACCAAGGAGCTCTGTAGAAAAGAGATTGATTGCCTTCTGAAGGTGCATACATTATTTTTAGGGTGAGCATGAGCAAAGGCTGAACAGAAAGCATAAGAAAAGGAAGTCTTGAAAGAGGGCTCTTTCCAGAGGTGGAGAGTTGGGAGTTGACCAGCATCAGCAGCCTGCACGAGGCATTTCACAGTGTTTCTGTTTTTCTTCCCCTCTCTGTTGCAGTATATTGAGTCTCCTGATGTGGAAAAAGAGGTGAAGCGTCTCCTGAGCACGGATGCTGAAGCTGTCAGTGTCCGTATCCTTTTAGGAGAAAAAAAAAGCTCAAGTCGGGGACCAGATACTTTGTGTGACCTGGGGGTTGTGGAAAGGAGAGACAAGTTCAGCTTTGGGTGGTGTGAGAGACTGGGAGATAAGCACACAAGAGGCACTGAAGTTTTGGAGCTTCATCTTTACCTTGTTCAAAGCTTGTTGTTTCTTCATGGTGACCTCTTGTGTGATTTCTTGCAGTTTTGAGCATTCTTTCATCATACTGCTTCGTTCATATTCCTCTTTTTCCCTTGACTCATCTGTTCCTGCTGTCAGGCTGGGAAGTCATTGCTGAAGATGAAACAAAAGAAGCAGATAATCATGGTTCACTTACCAGCCTGGACATCTCCTCCCCAGGGATGTCAGGACACAAGCAAGGCCATGGCTCCTCAGGTGCAGTGGGGAATTGTTTTCTTTCTAGCTACTAAGTAATCAGTTAGGCCCATTCTCTCTGGGATAAGCCTTAACCAGAGCAAAGGAGAGAGGGTGTTGAGACAGGCACCGTGTACTGATATGGTCCCTGGCAGGCAAAGGGTGCTGGGAGGTCATCAGCTGTGTTTTACCTCTTCCCTTTTGCACTCCCCTAGAACATGATGAACTGCGGGAGATATTTAATGACATCAGCAGCAGCAGTGAAGATGAAGATGAGAGGGATCATCACGATGATGAAGACCTGAACATCATGGACACTGAGGAGGACTTGGAGAGGCAGCTGCAGGACAAGCTGAATGAGTCCGATGGGCAGCAACAGGAGAACGAAGGGTCCAACCAGATAGGTGAGTGGGTGGCAGAGTGCAGCAGAATCACCAGGGTGCCAGGCAGTCTGCACTGCCCAGCTCTGCTGCTGCTCTGGGTCTGAGCTCACTCTCTTCCAGTCATGGGGATCCAGAAACAGATTGACAACCTGAAAAGTAAACTCCAGGAGACCCAGGATAGGAGGAAGCGACAGGAGGATCTCATCATGAAAGTGGAGAACCTAGCCCTCAAGGTAAGAGCTCTCCTAGGGTCTCTTCAAGTCTTCTGCTTAGCACTGGCTTGCCATTAGATCCAGCAGACTGATTGAGCTGCTGCCCTGAAAAAACCATGGGTCTTTGCCTGCTGGGTTAAAAATAATTGTGGTGGGACCATACACACTCCAGCATTTCCCCATGGAGGCCAAACAACCCATGAAACTGCGGGAGGTAGGGGGGCTGGTTGTCATTGCAGCTTGGGGCTTGCTGCACAATTTTATATGTTGTGCCAGCAGCCATTCAGTTGAGAACGCACTGTTAACTGTGGTCTGGCATGTTTGTCTCTGCAGACCCGTCTCCAGGCTGTGCTGGACGAGTTCAAGCAGCAGGAAGAGCGAGAGAAGCAGCAGGTGAGAAAACCCCCATAGTGGAGTGGGAAAGACTGGGGGATGACATGGTTCTAGGCTTGGCCTCTGACAAAATTACAGAATCTGGTACCCCCCCAGCTGCTTGGAACTCCAGTGTTACAGGTCAGGTGTGGTTGTACCTCATGCATGGAGCTTCCTAAGGCACAAGGAAGTGTAGGAAATGGAGTTGATTGCAGCCTTCCTTCTGGAGGAGCAGTGAGCAAAAACATGTCTAGTCAGCAGTCCAGGGCTCCTAGGATTGCTGCCTTGGGTACAACATGACACGCAAACCCACTAACACCTACGTGTAAGAAAAGCAGCAGCTGCAGCGTCTTGGCAGATTCCCTACCTGGGCAGCTCTCCTGAGTTTCAACGAGGTACCAAGGCAGGAGGTTCCCACTCCCAGGTTCCTGTTGTGTGGATTCACCTCGTGGGCAGTGCTAAGTCCTGCCCCAGAGGTGCCCAGGCACAGCTCCCTGCAACGTACAGGCAAAGCAGCCACTGGTGTAGGTGGAAGATTCACAGGGACAAGTGCTTGAGCCGGAGCTGCCAGGAGTCCCAGCCATGCCTCGCTGTTAACGCCTCACTCCCTCTTCCCAGATGACATCCCTGCAGGAGCAGCTGGAGTCCCTGATGGAGAAGTGAGGAGTGCCTGGGTCTCTGTACCTGTGAGCAGAGTTGAAGGTGTTGTTTATCTGCCATGCTGAAGTCTGGTGACACACCTCTGCTGCCAAATGTGCTGCTGGACAGTGCTAGAGGTTCCGTGTCCAGAGCTGCTCTCACATACATTGTGCTGGGCTTGACTGGTGGAGCTGAAGAATTGAACTATGCCTGTGAGAGCAGCCAGAACACTGGATTTACTGTAGGTACTCAGCACCATTCTCCCAGCAGGGTTTCATTATTCCTAGGACAGCATGGTGCAGCTTTCTGCATCTTACTGAGTCTTGGATGTGATGGGCTGTGGCCTGGAAGGAGCTTGTTCTTGTGTTTGCAAAGCAGATTCAATAAAGTGCCATTTCCAATCCCTGGTCTGTTCCTCTGTGGTCTCTGGAGCACAGACTAGCATTGCCACTTGTCATCTCCTGCTTGACCACACGTCGCCCCTGGCTGGTGCTCACACTGCCAGTGCTGGACTCCTTCACTGAAATGCTCCTCACGTGGCGGGGTCAAAGGGAGACTGCGTGCGAAGGGGACCCCGTGAGCTGTCACTCTTGGGAGGAACGAGGCCCTCCTAATCAGGGAGTTTCTTTAAGTCCTTATAGACTAGGCAGGCAAATCCCAGCTTAACCTGGTAGGGTGGGAAGAGGATTAGAAAGGCAGTTCCAGAACACAACGGAGGGCACCAAGGGCTTCAGGGAGGGTGTGCAACAGTGGGACACCCCTCTTGCAACCTGAAGGGCAGGAGAAGGGGAGGAGGCTTCCAAAGCTCTGCCCCCAGCACTGAAAGCAAAAGGCCAGTGGCAGCCCTGGGAGATGACACGTGTGTCTAGATAGTCAGGAAAGAGACATACCTTGAGGAAGACACAGAGCTCAGGAAGGGTCAGAGCATGCCCCTGTGCATGTGCCTGTGACCCGCTCCTGGAGGCCAGCAGGAACAGCCATGGAGGAAACCTACCTGCTGAATGTGGAAGGTGTCAAAAAGAAGATTCTGCATGGAGGCCACGGGGAGCTGCCAAAGGTGCAGGATGGGAGCAAGGTAAGTTGTCTTGGTTGTTAGTCCAAAGCCCTAGGAGAGTGGGTCTGACACCACCATCCCTGCCCATAAGCTGCGTTCCAGCTCTGTGGTATGGGGAGATCCCATCTCCAGGGGATCCCTTGCAAGGGAGGTGCAGGAAGGGCTGGTTTAGGCACTGGCAGTCCAGTTCCCCTCACAGTGACAGCTGAAATTGCCCACTGCCTTCACCTTGCCTTGGTGCTGTTACCCACCTCCTTCCTTGGTCCCGGGGCCATCAGAGCTCAGCACCCACGATAGCTTGTTGGGAATCTGCCTTTCCTGATGTGTCAAACAGGAGTAAGGGGTGACAACAGGGAGTTCTGAGATTCCCCAGCCCATGGGTATGAGCCGATCAGTGTGGGTTCCACCAGGTCCTGGTGCATGCTGTGGGAGCACCGTATACTGGGTTATAAAGGGGGATCCAAAGAGAGCAGCAAGATATAGCACTGGTGGGCGTTAAGACACTCCACCATCTGCTTGGTGTCTAAGACGAGCTAGTAGGAGGCACAGTCTCCTGCTGCAGAGAGAGAGCTGCCAATCAAATCAGCACCTTACCAGGAACAGGCTTGGTTGGCCCCAAATTCTGTCCCTGTAGCAGAAGGGTTTGGGGCTGGTGAGGAGGCAGAGGGCTCTCACTGTGGTGCCTGCCTTGGCTCGACACTGGGCTTTCTCCGGGGCAGATCACCTTCCACTTCCAGACGCTGAAGGATGACTTTGAGCGGACGGTGATTGACGACAGCCGGGAAGCTGGCATCCCCATGGAGATAATTGTGGGCAAGATGTTCAAGCTGGAGATCTGGGAGACACTGCTCCGTTCCATGAGAGCCGGGGAGGTGGCCGAGTTCTGGTGCGATGCCATTGTGAGTGAGGGGCCCACAGACGCCCAATTCCTTCCTTTCTGCAGAGCCAGGGCACAGGATCATGTACCCCAGAGATGCTCCAGACTTGCCTGGTGCAAGCACAGGGGGTACAGGTGTCAGCCAGTGTCAGGGGGGCTGCCCCAGAGGAAGGAGGTGCAGGCTGGCTCCATGCAGCTGAGTGGGGTGCTCCCCCTCCTTGCAGCACACAGGCATGTACGCCCTGGTCTCCAGGGGCATGCGGAGGATCGCAGAGGGCCGGGACCCCCTGGAAGGGCAGAAGCACCGCTGTGGCATGGGCAACATGTTTGACTACCACAGCACAGGCTATGAGGACCTGGACGAGCTGCAGCGGACGCCACAGCCCCTCATCTTCATCATGGAGTTGTTCCGGGTAAGGGGGAGGGTGGGGATGGCTGCCAGCCTGGGGATGGCCAGGGCAGGCAGCTCAGCTCCTGTTGCCCGTGCAGGTGGAGGAGCCCTCGGCATACAAACGTGACACCTGGGCTATGAACAAGGAGGAGAAGCTGGCAGCAGTGCCCGTGCTGCACAGCGAGGGCAACCGCCTCGTCCTGCGCAAGGAGTTTGGGCTGGCAGCGGAGAAGTACCAGGAGGCTGTCATCTGCCTGAGGAATCTCCAGGCCAAGGTGAGCAGGACCTGGCCACCTCCTGTCATTCCTGCCTGAGTTTCCTCAGCAAAACACCCCCCTGTGGGCCCTGGGTACCCGGGAGGGCACAGCCACAGACATGAACCACCCACTGTGGCTCCCTGGGACAGGAGAAGCCATGGGAGGAAGGCTGGCTGAAGCTGGAGAGCCTGGTAACACCACTGGTGCTCAACTACTGCCAGTGCCAGCTGGAGCTGGGCGAGTACTACGAGGTGCTGGAGCACACAACAGAGCTCCTCCAGAAACACAAAGGTACCCATGCCCTGCATCTCAACCCCCCACCCCCCTCTACACTGTGCCCACAGGCCCTGGGTACTCTGGCCTCTGGGTCCCCCACCCATGACAATGCTCATCCCATGTCCCTCTGCCTATGACAGTACCTACGTCATCTGGATCCCCATGTCCACTGCAGAACCCATGTTCCAGATCCCCCAGTGCCTATGTCCTTGGTTTCCCCTGCCCATTACGACCCTGTGGCCTCTAGGTTCCCATGATGTTGTCCCACATCATCCAGATCCCCCTGCCCACCATGGTTCCCCTTGCCCATGATGATCCCTGAACCCCATGTCCCCTAGTGCCCACAGTGGAACCTGCATGACCCAGGTCCCCCTGTTCATGATAACACTGCCAGTGTCCACTCCATGTTACCCTGCCTATGACGGTACCTGTGCTCCATGTCCCCTGGGTTCCCAGGCTCTCCAGCTCCTGCGGCTGGTGGCCCTGAGCTGCAGGACCCCCACTGTGGGCTCTCCCCCCCTGGCAGACAACGCCAAGGCCTATTTCAAGCGGGCGAAGGCCCACGCTGCTGTCTGGAATGAGCGGGAGGCGCGGGAGGACTTCATGCGCGTGGCTCAGCTCGACCCCTCCATGGCGGCTGCTGTGAAGAAGGAGCTGAAGCTGCTGGGGGAGAGGATGAAGACAAAGAACGTGGAGGATCGGAA